CTGTACATTCCTTCAGCCCAAAATGCAATTCCACCAGTCTCTTCCCCAGGCAAGCATTCCCACCTGCCCTCTCATGTCAACACCAGTACCTGAGCTGCGACAAAGCAAGCTGTATCAGGAAACATACTGCTGAAAACTATTTTCTGTCATGCAAGAAAGTCATTTTTCAAGAGGATGAGCTCTCAGGCAACTGCCGCAACAGCCTGCGGTTACATCCAGGTGCAGAACCGCACTGTCAGGTCTTGTCACCCAGAAAAAAACGCAGCCAAAGGGTATCCAGACAGCCCCGATCATCTCACCTGCATGATTCAGGGCGCAACAGCAGCACGGAATGTGCCATCCCCAGAAAACCAGGTGCAGAGTTCTTCTACAAGAGGACCCCAGGGGGATGCTCCCCAAGTTCATATCCTATGGGGAATGAAAAGCTGCAGCAAGGAATGGGAGAACTTAGAGGAAAGATTCCTTAAGCTCATGAGAGGCAGATAGTACAGAGTGTGGAGCATGTCACTGAGCTAAGCTAATCCCTCTGCAAAAGGTGGCTACCTCTAACTGCTAACTCTCACCTAGTGATGTTCTCCTGCAGCAGTTCTTTCCATCCCGCATCAGTCAGACAGAGAGATGGCTAAGTGCTTGCAGCAGGCAGGGGATGCTGCAGGTGACAGCCAGGCAGCAAGAAGCACAGACAAAGACAGACAGCCAGAGCTGGCGGCATGCTGGCCACAGACCTATGTGATTTATGTTTACACTTATTTTATTTTTATTTTATTTGCCACTGCCTGCACAAGGGTGACCAGCTCTCGCTGCACAGGAGCAAAATGAAGGCAGGCGACTGTACACAACTGTAGCTGGGGTCAGCACCTGGGAAAGGCAGCAGGACACAGCATCCTCAGGCCATGCTGCGTGACCCAGCTGGACTCACAGCTAATCTGCCTCCTCCACAGACACGCATGCTCCTTAAAAGAAGTGTTTTCATACGTTAAACACTGGCACATTCTCATCTACCGAGCTTTAAAGTCAGTCCCAGGACAGACTAACAGTTTTTCCAGCTGCTGTCCTCACTGCAGATCTAGCTCTTCTCTATACAGTTACAGATAATCCAAATGCAACGAGCCAGCAACTCGATATCATTATTTTTCTAATTTAACTATCAGAAAATATGAGGGTAGGAGAAAAGTTCCAAAGCATCACATGTGTGTTTATCTCAGCTTTGAGAGAAACTGTAGATTGTTTAAATCCATTACGAGCAGCTGGCACGTCTCTTGGCAAACAGGAATGATATTTGTATTTAAATTTTGGAAGAAAACATGAAAGGGAAAAAATGATTTTTGGTGCAGAACACCAAGTACAAGTTGTTCTGCTGCTAATCAGTTGTGACCCTGATGCTTTTCATATGGGGAGTTATTCTCAAAATTTAACACTTTGCACAAATTCTGTATACAAACTACTTAAAAATAAAATCTCACTCTCACGTCTTTCTCCTCTTTGCTGGAAGAGTTTGGCAATAATCCGTGGATGTACTGATTTTACACATTTTCCACCTCGAGTCAGCCATCTGGCCCTCCATATGCAGGTGTATAGGGATGGAAAAATGGAAAACTTCAGTTTCCTTGTTAGCAAGCAGCTGGCTAAACCCCACTTTCAAATAAATGAATTACCTTTTCCCTACCAAATAAAGTAAAACAATAAATAGGATTAGCCTGTATCGACATCAGGTTTTACAGAGCAACCTTATGCACAGGTGACCACCACGGATTAAAATGCAGCCAGCCCCACAGCCACACGTTCGCTAACCACAACCTCTGACTAAATACACACTGTAAAAATCAAAGCACTGTGTTCCATTTCAATTAAACACCACCAGTGTCGTGGCTCTGAAGACTGCAGCCAATCCACGGCAGCTCACTCAGATGCCCCATTTCTGCAGAAATCATCAGCATGCGGAGCAACAGCCAGTGGTGTTTTTGTGGCAGAGGAAATGAGTCACCGGCAGCTCCTGGGGAGCTCAGAGGCTTGCAGTGGGCAATTTTTATCTGAAGGAGGAAGGCTGGCTCCAAGATTCCCAACCCATCTCAGATGACAACAGCCACCACCGAGCTCTCAGGGCCGATGAGGAGGTGATGATGCAGCCACCAACCCAACTGTTTGTGCTGCACGTGAGGTCTGAGGGTAAGGTGCCTGGAGTGGCATTGGTGATGCAGCAGTGGGCTTATTGAGCTCTAATGCTGCTCAGAAAATGGCACTGGTGACGTGCTGGTTGGGGCATTCCAATATTCCAATGTCAGGTCTGCTCAAGGGTATGCAACCTGGGTGACTTTCAATCGGAAGCAGCCAGTAGCTAAGGTGTTAAAAACAGACAGAAAATGCTGGGAAAGGACAAAAAGTCTGCTGTAGATCAGCCCAAAGCAAAGCCCCAGCCCACCTGCTTGGGGCCTACCGAGGGTTCACTGGCAGCAGAGAAGGGAGTGAGGAGCCTGCAGCCTGTCGTGCTTCTGCTCCCTCCAGGCTGCAGCAGGCTGTGTGCTCCCTTACTGCTTGACTGCCAGGAAAAAGAAAAAAAACCTTCCAATAATAATGCCTTGCAAAATGCTATGGTACAACATTACCCGCACACAAGCCTAGCAAGCTGCAGGCGAGATGAAGATTACAGGCAGACACATCATACGTGCTGTGAACAAACCCTTGGGAAGCTTTTCAGACTTTTATTAGAACATTTTTCATAGAATCATTAAGGTTGGAAAAGACCTCTTAGATCATCTAGTCCAATCACCCATCTACCACCAATATTTCCCTACTAAACCGTGTCCCTAAGTTACTACATCTACCCTTTCCTTCAACATCTCTAGGGATGGTGACTCCACCACCTCCCTGCACAGCCTGTTCCAATGCATTGCCACTTCTTCTGAGAATAAATTTTTCCCAATATCCAACTTGAGCCTTTCCTGGTGCAACTTGAGGCCATTCCCTCTTGTCCAATCCTATTCTTTCTTCCACGAGAAACACAACCACTCTGGAAAAAAAACCACCTGCTACCAAGCTATTTAGCACGCAAGTACACCTGCAAAGCACACAGACTTGAATGAGACCCCTCCATCCCAGGCTGAGTCCCCCGAGGTGCCCATTTCTCCCAGTGCAGCTGATTACTGTCTGGCACCTCCTCACACCTGTGCTGGTGAATCACCAGCTGAAAGGGAAAAGTAAAAGGCTGGAATTCAGTCCTGGTAATTAGGCTGGAACAGCTTAAAGTAGCATTTGAGTTTTTAAGTATATGCATGCTTCCACATTTGCCCGATAGCTTCAAATCCACCAGACCATGCGCAGCCTTTGTGGTTGTTAAAAGGTTAAAATTTAACTTAAATTACACAAAAGACAGCTAGCAACACAACTCCCCCCTCTCCCCAAATCTATTTGCACACACAGGTCTGCCTGCAGAAGGAAGTGGATCCCTGTTCTTGCAGCCATGCATCCCAACCAGCTGTCCTGCCTCCGCCTTCCCTGCTTGCACTGCTGGACCTCACGGCTCTTCCCAAGCGCATCCAGAAGGGTTGGCACACCCAGGTGTGTGGCAGGGACAGACCCACATCTAATACCAGGACACTAGTTTCACACTGCTGAAGGACTAAGCTCCACAGGCATTGGTGCTGGTCCATTCTGGGTGGTAACTTGCATCTCTGAGCAAGGCAACAGCTGCACTACTGCACCCACAGCTACAGGGCACCTTAGAATCATGCAAAGGCCAGAAGATGCCACAGACAGCACATAGGAGGCTCAGCTCTTCACCTTTCATCCTTTTCTTTTCAGTAACACCAGCAAACAAGCTCACAACCAAATCAGAGCCAGCTGGGTCAAAACAGTCCTCCCACATTGAAAGCAGAAGGCAGGAGAATAACAGATGTTTCATCCAGAGGGCTTTTTTTGGGTGGTGGTTTTTGTTGATTTTGTTGTTGTTGTTGTTTCAACAATCCTATGAAGCTTTAGCCAGACATAAATGAAGAGCTTGTGTTTCATGATGTCAAGCAGTGTTTTCCTTCACGCAGAACAACACACTTTTTGCAGAAGAAATAAAGTTCAACGTATAGAAATATGTGCTTTTCCCCGCAATGTGATCATTTCAGAAAGCTTTCTTTTTGCCCCCTTGAAGCTCCCAGCACCCCACTACATCTACCTTATCCACAGCACTTTGCTGCTTTGATATTTCTTTACAGATGGCTTCTCTTGGAATTCTTCCAGAAACAACAAAAGCTAAATTGATTACATGCTTTTTATCAGACTTCAAGATGGCCCCTAAAGAAGCCTTTTCTTTATAAGCACCTAAGAAGAAAATCAACCAAAACCCACGCAGACAAACATACGGTAGAAAGTGGCTCCCAACAAAGAAGGTCGCAGCCCACGTTAATGCAGACTTAGCGATGCTCTTCCCCTTGATAACACACCTCAAGGTAGCACTTGGTGCTTACAACTCCCAACAGCATAGGGACAACCACCCCGTTTACAACCATGGGGCATTCTGTCTGTCGAGCAAAGCTTGAAACCAAGTCACAGCTCCCCGAAGCAAGACAGTGACACATCTGTGTACAACCACAGCCGCAAGCACCAGATCTGTCTCAGGGCACTAATTAAAGGAATAGGAGAATGTGAACTAGGAGAGTGGGCTCAAAGTTCTTCTCCGGGGGATCCCAACCACATGGCATGGCTGGAGCACCCAGAGGGCCTCTCACCTCACCGCAACACCCCTCCTTGCCTTGGTGAGGAAGGAAAGAAAGGACCACCGCAGCACAGCTGTTGAAAGAAGGGCCTTCCACCGCTAAGAGCTCCCGGTGGGTCTTTAAAAGTCACCGCCCGACATCCAATGGCTCTAACAGGAGCAGCACGTCGCGCAAGAAAGCGCCAGAGCTCCCGAAGCCACTATTCCCGAAGTCACTGTTATGGAACCCCCGCAGCAAGCGCAGGGCCCGCCAGCCCGGCCTGAAGCCGCCACCCCGGGCCGCCCCTGCCCTCCTCACCGTGTGGCCCAGCAGGGTGTCGGGGTCGGCGGGCTCGCACAGCTCGCTCAGCTTGCGATCCCAATGCAGCAGCGGCGGCTGCTCGCCGCTCTCGCACACCTCCATGGCGGCCCCGGCTGCCCCGCGCCCGAGCTCACGCCGTGCCGCCCACTCCCATGGGCCGCCCGCCGCCGCTACCGGCGCCGCTGCGAGGCCGCGTCCCCCGCCGGAGCCGGGAGTGCCGGGTCGGGCGGGGCGCCCCCGCCAGCTGCGAGCCGCGCCCCCGCTAAGCCCCGCCCCCGCCGCCCACATGACCAATGGGGGTTAAGGAGCGCGGCGGGGCGGCGGACCGCGCCCCAATCGGCGCTCTGCGCCCCCGGGGCCCCACGGCTCCAGCTGGGGAATGTGGGCGGGGCTTCGCAGGAGCGACGGGCAAGGCAGCCAATGAGACAGCGACAAGACTGCGGCCGGAGCGCGGCGGCCCTCCCACTCCGTGTGGGCGGAGGAACGGCCGCGGCCCCTAAGGAACCTACGGCCCCGGTTAGCGCTGTGTCCGGAGCCGAATGCAGACCAGGTTCGGGTGCGGGAAGTCCGCCCGGCCCTTCACCTCTTGATCTACAGCCCACGTGTCTGTTAGAGATGTTTCAGGACACCCCCTGCCATAAACGTGCCTTTAGATTCACCGTGCCTTCGATCTCCGTGCAGCCAGCCCGTTGGCAGCAACGCACACTCTGCTCACAGCCCAGCACTGCTCCCCCAGCGCCAATCAGCCAGCAGCAAGGAGAACCCCAATCAACAGAGAATTCCCGTATTTTAACCTTGGTTCCATGCCAGGCTGGGACAACGTTGACATTTCATCGTCCTTTAAAAACAAAAGATGCCGCATGGTTCCGAGCCGACACACACGCCGGGCATTCTTCAGCCCTAAGTTCCAGCTCCTGGCACGCACTCAAAGCCTTTCTCTGTGGGTCAGCCCAACACTTGGCACTCCATCCCACATTGTGCTCGAGCTGTAACAGAGCTCCGCCATCCCCCTGGGTTCCATCTGCTGACACGCCATGGCGCTGCCAGCTCCCCGCCCTCCCCAGGGGGCCGGGGTGGGCCCTCTGAGGCCTCCCATCACCCATCGGGCACAGCAGCAAAGAGAAGAGGAGGAATAATGACAACTTTGTCAGGGTTTACCCTTTGAGATGTATTAATCTCTTCGGTTTTGACTTGAGCGAAAGAAGAAAGTTTATTTTTAATTTAACAAAAGCCGCATTATTTGGTCAAGAACACATGAAGGGAAGATCCCCAGCTGCCACAAATAAAGCTCTCCTGCAAAGAGGGAATTAGTTCAAGTGACTGTAAAACAAGTCAACCCAGGGTATGCCCCCAGCAGCACTGAGAACCCAAAGCCAAATTCCTAACACTTGAATGGGTACCTACTGCTTCAGCAAGGCCAGCCAGAGGTACACACTTCTTGCAACCTGGCACTGTCATGCTCCTTTGTCAAAGCAATTACATCGTGCCAGTCCTGAGGCATAGATTGTGAAATTCGTAAAGGTCAGTTCCTTGTTCTGAATATTCCATGTTTTCATTGGGTTTTTCTTGCTTTTAAAGTTTTTGCAGCCTCGTGATAACTAGCTGAAGAAAAGGCTCTTCCTCATTCCCCTGGCTGGCCTTAAACACTTGTGAAAATACTGCTGTGACTAGAGAGTCGACTTGCCTGGTCAACCAAATACAGACCACCTTAAAGAAGGAAGAAGGTGCAGACTGGGTGACTGCATCTTTATCTGCTCTACATGCAGAGGACAAGGGTCTCGTAAAGGCCAAGCTGAAGTTTCTTATCCTAACAAATTTCTCAGAAAGAAATACAAGCTGTACAGTAAGTACTTCTGTCATTTTCCCTTGGGTAATAAAGAAATGACAGGAAATTAGGCAAACAACGTGCTGTTTTTCCCCAGTGTTTTCCACGCTTCCTGGGTCACAAAAAATCATGTCCCTCTACCCTCTTCACTTCTCTATGGCTTTTCTTTTAACACCAGTGCTGAGGCACAGCTGCTGTTGCGGGTCACACTGCTGCCGAATATGCCATAAAAGACTCTTTTGGCTGCAGAAATACTGCAATACATAGAGACAACTCATTTCCTGGGACTGTTCACTAATGAACACTGGTAACTAGTAGCCAAACATTGGTAACTAGGCATCCCTTGCCAGCCTGTTACCTCTGGTTGAAGGCTATGTTCCATTTCTTGAGCTTCAGTGTTTCTAAAAGAATTCCCTGAGAATTCATGAGGAACTACAACCAATTGGCCTGCATGGGAGCAACTAATGGCATATAGACCACCCTGAAGCATTGTGTTGCAGAACCAGTTATTCTTAGGCCTGCTGAAAAAATTGGTAGCATGTAGAAGGCATCAAGAAAGGAGATGAAAGTGATAGAAAGTTAACTCTTTCCAGAGAGTTTTTATTAATCAGCATCTGGGATGGCACTCATGCATTGTTTATTACTGCTCACAAGCTGACACTGCACCAGGAAACATACACTCTGAAAAAACACAACACCACAGAAACATCCAGAATATTACGCAGGTACATCTATCCTCCTAACTTTTTCCTGTACTGCTTGGGGGATTTAAAACTGTACATTTCAGTAGTTACCAGTATGCTGAAAAATCAAAGCTGCTTAACTTTCCTCTTTGTGCTAATTTAGTAGTAGTTTTAAGTTCCAATGCAGCTAATTCTGTGAGCATTTCTGTCACTGCAGACTTCTCAACTATGTTCAAACTCACTCTCCCACACAGGGGGAGAACGCAAAAACTGAGTGTCAAGATAGATGAAGATGAAAAGATGGGTTTTATGGTCTGCAGAGATGCAGCTGAGGGGAAGTGGGGAGAGCTCTGTTTTCTTTTACTCAGCATTCTGTCTTCTATATGCAAGGAGCAGAAAACCCAAAAGTGAAAAACCACACAGAAAAACAAACTAGCTAAGGAGGAGGAGGCTGTTAATATAGGGCTTCAAACAATGATCACTTACTTTAATATTTAAAGAAAAAAGCTAGTTACGATGCAAGCCAATAAGTTAAATCACAGAAAGCCTGGAAAGGAAAGGTGCTCTGTTTTCCTCACAGATCCGGGTTACAGAAGCCACAGCTCCTATGACTGCGTCCTTACCCAGTTCTTGATCAGGTCAGTTGCACAAAGGCTCATTAAATATTTACAAGTGACATTTTCCTGACTTGTGACAACCAGGATCAAGATAACCATCCATTTTCTAAAGCCATTTTGTTCAAATAAGTTTTAAAAGTCAACCAACAAGAAAAGAACAAATAGCAACAGGATAACAACTTTTTTTTTTTTTTTTAGGACAGCTACAAATGAAAATAACTTACCCTTTAAAAACCACAGAAAATGACCATATGTAAGAAGGTGACTTACTTCAACAAAAGTTAGCACTTCTTAAAGAGCACAAGGCACAAACTTCAGGCTTAGGAACAACAAAAAAAGAATGTCCAGGCTGTCAATTTCTAATTATAGAAGTTGCTGGAGATTGTTCTGAAATTGTTAAGTATGGTACTGAGCTGATTTTTATCTGGGAAATAAAGCAACAAGAGAAGAACAGTCTTACACTAATATGCATTTCCCACAAGTGGAAATCTCTGTAGAAACCCTGTGAAGCTGATTTCTTTGCAAAATTGTTATGTGCATACACATTACTTGCACTAGCCAGCAACTGATACAGCACTAACAAAGCAAATTTATTGTGTAAATGAGATCTCTTCTGTGTGAAGCAGCTCACTACCACCACCGGAAAATGGGACAGGCCTTGGTTTGAACAGCCCTGTACAGGCTCAACTATTTGCAAGAAATGCTCCCACCACAGAAATTTCAGTTAAAAATAGAAGGTGTGCTTGAAAACAGTGCAGTTTTCTTCTCAAAGTCCTGGCATTATAATCATTTTCTGACATGAATACTTGTGAAAGATGTGGGATTACCAGTACTGGAGGCAGCCTACTACCGAAACCACATAATCAGTACACTGACAGAAATACAAGAACCCTTTACCAGAACATTCCTCCCTCCTGTACCTCAGGACTTCTCAAAGCACTAATTCAGCTTTCCTGCCTTTGACAATTCAAGGCCTCCCTGCATGAGCTTTCACCAAGCTTCCACAGGCAGCCCTAATCTTCACAGCAGAGCAGGGACAGGGCTCAGACACCTACCCTCGACACTGTGCAGTCAGCAGGGTGCAACCTGTTGGCCATATCAGTAGTCAAACGAGGTACCTGCTGCTAAAAAACGCATGCAGTTCTGTACTAGTCCAAGCTTTCAGCCATGCTTAATTCACGCTGTTATTCGGTCCTCAGAAAGTGAGCCCTGAAACAAATGAAATAAGTTGGTTCAGCCAGAGACATCAAGGCCCATTTCAATGAATTGTAGGGCATTCGTACCTTTGTTCTCAAACACTGCTCAGCCTTAATTAAATGTGAAAACATTTCTCGCTGTGTCATATTTTTGAAAGCTCTTAACTGGCACAGTACCCACAGTATTCTCAAACCAGAACACAACAGCCACTGAAACAAGCTCAGAAGAGGGCTTCCTCACCTTACACCAGACTGGAAGAAACAACTGAATGATGCTGAGATGCCTCACTGACTGAAGTAGCTCTGTCCCAGGTCTGTTAAGAAATGTTCCAAATACTTAAAAGAAATCTGCATTTATTTTTTTTTTTTTTATCTCTTCCAATCTATCTTCATAAAAACATAAAGTAAATTCCTTTTGAAGGTCAAACATGTATAAAAGCCCCAGCTGATGCAAGCAATCAGGGTTTACCTAGTCCAGTTTACACAAGAGGTTAGCAAGAACAATCAAAAGATGAATGCCATTCACCAAGGGATAAAATGGAAAGTACTCTTTGCCTAGCTAAAAACAAGGTATAAGCAAGGCACAAACAAGGTATTTAAGTCAGTAGACGCCATTCTTTAACATTCCCTTGCAGAGGAAACAACAAGCAATAAAGATGAACAAGATGCTTTATGAAGGTTGATGTCACACTATTTCTCATTACCAAAACTATTGTTATGCATTACCTTTGCCCCATGGCTGCAAAGCAGACATAGAATGTAAACATACAGCAAAAAATAACTGATGGCAAAAGTATGTTTTAACTATTGTCTCTTGCTGATGCATCGTCACTCTGTAAAACCTGATCTAATACAAAATGGTGATGAACCTTC